GAGGGAGGGAGGGAGGGGAGGCAGTTCCATTCAAAGATAAAATGTGCAATTTTCCTTTTAAAGCAGTAAACATATGAATGTATTTACAGCACTTAGCACAAGCTTGCTGCACAGACAAATCATTGTTGTAATGATATTTTCTTACATCTGCACTCCAGTATTAAAGGACACCATCAGTGGCTGCTAATGACTAGTGTAAGTCATAAAACAAACTGATGTTCCAGTCGATGTTTGTTTCCATGGTGGTTCAATAAAAAGACTCCTAAACTTTAGTTATAACGTATATGAAACAGCAGACAGGAAACACAACCCCATTTTGTTTTCTCTTAAAACACAAACGTAGCACTGCAACATACTGAACTATCCACCAAGTCGGCAAAAGGCAATCTTTAGACACAGGCACAGACACAGCAAAACTGGGAAAAAGCGACATTTTTAGATACTTTGTTTTGCTAAACTGATTTATCCTTTTCCCTTACTAGAGAATGAAATTACCCGTGATGATTTGACTTGTGTCTAGATCATTATTAAAATACAGATATGCAACCGCACCCACTCTGGACAGCTTGAAGCCTGTCATCACTTTCCAGAACACCCACCTGGGCACTGTATGCTGTCAGCTGCTTCTTCAGTCCAGCTGCACCTTAACTCCAGCATGCTAACCCTCAAGTGCCTGTTGTAGCAACACCTGCTTTTTCTAGGCTAAGTTGGTAAGCTGTAGTTTTGGTGGGGTGGTGGGAAATCACAGCTCATGTGGTGATGATAGGACTCTCCTTTGGAGAGGAGAATGCTCTAATCTGCTTTGTAAAAGACAAGTACATGGTGGTCTTAAAACACCTGGCACAAACACTGGTGCATCCACTACACAGGTTGAAATCTTACTTTTCAAGTGGAGCTTTAACATATTACCAGGAGTTCCTCATCAGTTACACTATTTACATATGAGACAATTTGCTTGTAGTTACTATTCTGCTGCACTCCGTTAAGCAGTGGGGTGTTTGTGCTTCAGCACATGTCCTGATGACTGCTCATTCTTTGCAAAACCTTTCCTCCAGTTATACAAACCCAAGAGGCAGTGAAAACCTACAGCAGTTGTTCACTACAACAGGAACAGTCCCACTCAAAATCAGGCCTTTGTGTGAATCGAGATGGACTGCTATTTCCATTTCCTGAAGTGGTGAGGTATTTAAATCTGCTAGGTGGAACGGAGGGTTTCCATGGTTTTATTCTTTCTTTAGACATCTCTTGTCAAAGCAGAGACTAAGATGGTGATCATCAGCTATATAACACAAGTACCTGCTTTCAGTAATTTTTCCATTGAGCATGTCCCATGCGTGTTCATAATGCATTGTTTGTTTGCTTGGTTTTTTTACAGAGAGGCATTATAAATAAAAGGCTTAGGGAACTTTGATACCTCCCACAGGCAGAAAGGCTCTAACAACTTAAACCTGTCAAAAGGAACAGAAATCATGTTCCCCTCGCTGCTTGCAACCTGTTTTGAAACATGGCCCTAGTTGCAGAGAAGCAGGAAGTGGAACAACAGAGAGAGACAGATTGTCTGTTTCATCATCTGTTGGAGGAAAAGGTCCCAATATAAAAAAGAAAACTAACATTTAAAAGTATATTTAAAAACTATTCTGCTCTAAAGTATTAGTTGTAACAGGAATGGGGCACTTAAAATACTATGAACATTAGCTTATCATTTGAGTTTTCAAAGTAGTATTAAAAACAAACCAACCAAACATTATCGGGGTTGCTGCAGTTATTCTGACTAGCTTTTGAATTTGAATGCATACTGCTGCTGGGTTCTATAGTGCTGCAACTCAGTAATTGAGACTTCAGGCCAATCAGCCTTAGAAAAGGAAAACACGCATAGCTCTTAAGTCACAAAACACATACATAATGAATTGTGACAATTCAGAAGCAACAGTTATTCACATACAAATGTGTTTTGAATGTAGTTTCTAATATAGTTGGAGATGGAATGAGCCAACTCATGGAAATATTAAAGACCAAATTCTGTAATCATTTTTAATAATCAAACCACAAAAAACTCCAACTCAAATGCATTAAGCCTTTGGCTCTTACTTTTTTTTAAAGCAGTGACTAAGACTGTGTTCATTACATGAGTACTGATCAGATTGGTTTTGGCACTGAATACAGCATGTCTGCCTTGTAGTATTTTGTAAGCTTGAAAAGAAAATTTTGCTCTTTTGAGGCCTATGGAATTTAAATGGTTTAAATCTCATTCTGCAACAGGATGAACATCCTCAATCACCACTGAAATGAAGACCCAGATCCTGCTCTGAGGCATCTGAGTGCAGTTGTCATTTATTTCAATGGTGTTACTCTGGATGTATGAAGAAATAGTTAGTTATTAGACACATGGCTGCCATCCTCAGGACTGCATAGAAACCGCAAAGCAGTCTCAGTGGAGAGAGAAACCATTTTGGTTCAGTAACACCACTGTCATTTGATTCTTTGCAGTTTTTTAAAGTAACAAGCAGAACATGTTTTTTTTCCTTTCCTCATCTGAGGCTGAAAGAGCACTTTCACTTCTCTTAATGGGAGAAAATAGTTTGAACCAGAACAAGACCAACACAGCAAAAAAGAAAAAAAAAGGTTCTAAATGCAAAATGCTAGAACAACAGGCATACAGAACAGCTGTCAGAAGAGCGTTCATTACTTATTACACTCTCTGAGTCCTGAAACTTAGGTGGTTTCACCTGCCTTTTTCTCCTGCTGCTAATGCCCACTTTGAGTACACTAAATACAGTGGTAAGATGTTACTGACCTTGCATACTGACTACTATTTAGAGTAGTCAAACGCTACCATCTCTGTCACTTGCATCAGTCTACTGAAAGGTTCATCTCTAGCAAAATGAAGCCTGATATTTCTACCGGTAAAGCATATTCTCC